GTTGTGGTGATGATGGTGGTGGTGATGGGGCACAGGGAGACGCCGGAGTTTGACGAGCTGAAGATCTGCGAGTTGAGGAGGGATAACCCAGCTGTTCTGATGGAGAAGTGAGTTGGTGGTGGTTGTTGTGGTGGTTTTTGTGGTTGTTGTGGTTGTTGTGGTTGTTGTGGTGGTCGTGGTGATGGTGGTGGTGGTTGTTGTGGTTGTTGTGGTGGTCGTGGTGGTGATGATGGAGGTGGTGGTGGAGGTGGTGATGGTGGTGGTTGTTGTGGTTGTTGTGGTTGTTGTGGTGATGGTGGTGATGGGGAACAGGGAGACGCCGGAGTTTGACGAGCTGAAGATCTGCGAATTGAGGAGGGATAACCCAGCTGTTCTGATGGAGAAGTGAGTTGGTGGTGGTGGTGGTGATGATGGTGGTTGTTGTGGTTGTTGTGGTGGTGGTGGTGATGGTGGTGGTGGTGATGGTGGTGGTGGTGGTGATGGTAATGGTGGTGATGGTGGTGGTATCTGTGTGTGTGTGTCTGTGTGTGTGTGTCTGTGTGTGTGTCTGTGTGTGTGTCTGTGTGTGTATGTCTCTGTGTGTGTCTGTGTGTGTCTGTGTGTGTGTCTCTGTGTGTGTCAGGATTCTCTATGAGTTTGGTAGGAGACATTCTGACTCTGCCGTCAGCGAAGTGAAAAATTTCGCCCAGAAATTCTCTCACTCAGTGACGGAATGCTGCTCTTCAGACAAGACTCACGAATGCTTCGTGGAGAAGGTGCCTCAGTCACTCACTCAGTCACTCACTCAGTCACTCAGTCACTCACTCACTCAGTCACTCAGTCACTCACTCAGTCACTCACTCAGTCACTCACTCAGTCAGTCACTCACTCAGTCACTCACTCAGTCACTCAGTCAGTCACTCAGTCAGTCACTCAGTCAGTCACTCAGTCACTCACTCAGTCACTCACTCAGTCAGTCACTCAGTCAGTCACTCAGTCACTCAGTCACTCACTCAGTCACTCACTCAGTCACTCACTCAGTCACTCACTCAGTCACTCATTCAGTCACTCACTCACATAGTCACTCAGTCACTCAGTCAGTCACTCAGTCACTCACTCAGTCACTCACTCAGTCACTCACTCAGTCACTCACTCAGTCACTCACTCACTCAGTCACTCACTCAGTCACTCACTCAGTCACTCACTCAGTCACTCACTCAGTCAGTCACTCAGCCAGTCACTCACTCAGTCAGTCACTCAGTCACTCAGTCACTCAGTCACTCACTCAGTCACTCACTCAGTCACTCACTCAGTCACTCACTCAGTCACTCAGTCACTCACTCAGTCACTCACTCAGTCACTCACTCAGTCACTCACTCACTCACTCATTCACTCACTCACTCACTCAGTCACTCACTAATCCAGTCCCTCACTCAGTCACTCAGTCACTAACCCAATCACCCACTCACCCAGTCACTCACCCAGTCACTAACCCAGTCACCCACTCACTCAGTCACTCACTCAGTCACTCAGTCACTCACTCAGTCACTCAGTAACTCAGTCACTCAGCCAGTCACTCACTCAGTCACTCACTCACTCAGTCACTCACTCACTCAGTCACTCAGTCAGTCACTCAGTCACTCACTCACCCAGTCACTCAGTCACTCACTCAGTCACTCACTCAGTCAATCACTCACTCAGTCACTCACTCACTCATTCACTCACTCAGTCACTGAGTCACTCACTCAGTCACTCACTCAGTCACTCACTCAGTCACTCACTCAGTCACTCACTCACTCAGCCACTCACTCACTCACTCAGTCACTCACTCAGTCATTCACTCAGTCACTCACTCACTCACTAACCCAGTCACTCACTCACTCAGTCACTAACCCACTCACTCACCCAGTCACTCACTCACTCACTCACCCAGTCACTCCGTCACCCAGTCACTAACCCAGTCACTCTGTGTGTCTGAACAGAGAGCGGCCATTGAGAAAGTCATCAAACTCACTCAGTCACTCAGTCACTAACCCAGTCACTCACCCAGTCACTAACCCAGTCACTAACCCAGTCACTCACTCACTCACTCACCCACCCACTCACTCACTCACTCAGTCACTAACCCAGCCACTCACTCACTCACTCACCCAGTCACTCACTCACCCACTCAGTCACTCACCCAGTCACCCACCCAATCACTAACCCAGTCACTCTGTGTGTCTGAACAGAGAGAGAAAGTCATCAAACTCACTCAGTCACCCAGTCACTAACCCAGTCACTCAGTCACTCAGTCACTAACCCAGTCACTCACTAACCCAGTCACTAACCCAGTCACCCACTCACCTAGTCACTCACTCACTCACCCACTCACTAACCCAGTCACCCACTCACCTAGTCACTCACTCACTCACTCACCCACTCACTAACCCAGTCACCCACTCACCTAGTCACTCACTCACTCACTCACCCAGTCACTAACCCTATTCACTAACCCAGTCACTAACCCAGTCACTCACTCACTCAGTCACCCACTCACTCACTCAGTCACCCAGTCACCCACTCACTAACCCAGTCACCCACCCAGTCACTCACTCACTCACTCACTAACCCAGTCACTCACTCACCCACTCACTCACCCAGTCACTAACCCAGTCACTCACTCACCCACTCACTCACCCAGTCACTAACCCAGTCACTAACCCAGTCACTAACCCAGTCACTAACCCAGTCACTAACCCAGTCACCCACCCACCCACGCACTCACTAACCCAGTCACTCACTCACCCACTCACCCACTCACCCACTCACCCACTCACTCACCCACCCAGTCACTCACTCACCCACTCACCCACCCAGTCACTCACTCACCCACTCACTCACCCACCCAGTCACTCACCCACTCACTCGCCCAGTCACCCACCCAGTCACTAACCCACCCAGTCACTAACCCAGTCACTCTGTGTGTTTTAACAGAGAGCGGCCATTGAGAAAGTCATCAAACTCACTCAGTCACTCAGTCACTAACCCAGTCACTAACCCAGTCACTAACCCAGTCACTAACCCAGTCACTCACCCAGTCACTAACCCAGTCACTCTGTGTGTCTGAACAGAGAGCGGCCATTGAGAAAGTCATCAAACTCACTCAGTCACTCACTCACCCACTCACTCACTCACCCACTCACTAACCCAGTCACTCACCCACTCACTCACTCACCCACTCACTCACCCAGTCACTAACCCACTCAGTCACTAACCCAGTCACTCACCCAGTCACTAACCCAGTCACTAACCCAGTCACTAACCCAGTCACTCTGTGTGTTTTAACAGAGAGCGGCCATTGAGAAAGTCATCAAACTCACTCAGTCACTCAGTCACTAACCCAGTCACTCACCCAGTCACTAACCCAGTCACTCACTCACCCAGTCACTAACCCAGTCACTCACTCACCCACTCACTCACCCAGTCACTCACCCAGTCACTAACCCAGTCACTAACCCAGTCACTCTGTGTGTCTGAACAGAGAGCGGCCATTGAGAAAGTCATCAAACTAACCCAGTCACTCACCCACTCACTCACTCACCCACCCACTCCGTCACCCAGTCACTAACCCACTCACTCACCCACTCACTCACTCAGTCACTCACCCACTCACTCACTCACTCACCCACCCACTCCGTCACCCAGTCACTAACCCACTCACTCACCCACTCACTCACCCAGTCACTAACCCACTCACCCACCCACTCACTAACCCAGTCACTCACCCAGTCACTAACCCACCCAGTCACTCACCCAGTCACTCTGTGTGTTTTAACAGAGAGCGGCCATTGAGAAAGTCATCAAACTCACTCAGTCACTCAGTCACTAACCCAATCACTCCGTCACCCAGTCACTAACCCAGTCACTCACTAACCCAGTCACTAACCCAGTCACTAACCCAGTCACTCACCCACTCACTCACTCACCCACTCACTCACCCACTCACTCACCCACTCACTCACTCACTCACCCACTCACCTAGTCACTCACTAACCCAGTCACTCACCCAGTCACTCACCCACTCACTCACTCACTCACCCACCCAGTCACTAACCCAGTCACTCTGTGTGTCTGAACAGAGAGCGGCCATTGAGAAAGTCATCAAGGATGAGGAGGCTAAGGGCAATTTGACTTGCCAGCGTCTTAAAGCTCAAGGCGTGGAACACTTTGAACAGCTGTGAGTGTCTAAGTGTGTGTCTAAGTGTGTGTGTGTGTCTAAGTGTGTGTCTAAGTGTGTGTCTATGTGTGTCTGTGTGTCTAAGTGTGTGTCTAAGTGTGTCTGTGTGTCTAAGTGTGTGTCTAAGTGTGTCGAAGTGTGTCTAAGGGTGTGTCTAAGTGTGTGTCTGTGTGTCTAAGTGTGTCTGTGTGTCTAACTGTGTGTCTAAGTGTGTGTCTAAGTGTGTGTCTAAGTGTGTGTTTAAGTGTGTGTCTAAGTGTGTCTGTGTGTCTAAGTGTGTGTCTAAGTGTGTCGAAGTGTGTCTAAGGGTGTGTCTAAGTGTGTGTCTAAGTGTGTCTGTGTGGGTCTGTGTGTCTAAGTGTGTGTCTAAGTGTGTGTCTAAGTGTGTGTCTAAGTGTGTGTCTAAGTGTGTGTCTAAGTGTGTCTGTGTGTCTAAGTGTGTGTCTAAGTGTGTGTCTAAGTGTGTCTGTGTGTCTGTGTGGGTCTGTGTGTCTAAGGGTGTGTCTAAGTGTGTGTCTAAGTGTGTGTGTGTCTGTGTGGGTCTGTGTGTCTAAGTGTGTGTCTAAGTGTGTGTCTATGTGTGTCTGTGTGTCTGTGTGGGTCTGTGTGTCTAAGTGTGTGTCTAAGTGTGTCTGTGTGTCTAAGTGTGTGTCTAAGTGTGTCGAAGTGTGTCTAAGGGTGTGTCTAAGTGTGTGTGTCTAAGTGTGTCTAAGTGAGTGTCTAAGTGTGTGTCTAAGTGTGTCTAAGTGTGTGTCTAAGTGTGTCTAAGTGTGTGTGTGTGTCTGTGTGAGTGTCTAAGTGTGTGTCTAAGTGTGTCTAAGTGTGTGTCTAAGTGTGTGTGTCTAAGTGTGTGTCTAAGTGTGTGTCTAAGTGTGTGTCTAAGTGTGTGTCTAAGTGTGTCTAAGTGTGTCTGTGTGTCTAAGTGTGTGTCTAAGTGTGTGTCTAAGTGTGTCTGTGTGTCTAAGTGTGTGTCTAAGTGTGTGTCTAAGTGTGTGTCTAAGTGTGTCTAAGTGTGTGTCTAAGTGTGTCTAAGTGTGTCTAAGTGTGTCTGTGTGTCTAAGTGAGTGTCTAAGTGTGTGTCTAAGTGTGTGTCTAAGTGTGTCTGTGGGTCTAAGTGTGTGTCTAAGTGTGTGTCTAAGTGTGTGTCTAAGTGTGTCTAAGTGTGTGTCTGTGTGGGTCTGTGTGTCTAAGTGTGTGTCTAAGTGTGTCTAAGTGTGTGTGTGTGTCTGTGTGAGTGTCTAAGTGTGTGTCTAAGTGTGTGTCTAAGTGTGTCTAAGTGTGTGTCTAAGTGTGTGTCTAAGTGTGTGTCTAAGTGTGTCTGTGTGTCTAAGTGTGTGTCTAAGTGTGTCGAAGTGTGTCTAAGGGTGTGTCTAAGTGTGTGTCTAAGTGTGTCTGTGTGGGTCTGTGTGTCTAAGTGTGTGTCTAAGTGTGTCTAAGTGTGTCTAAGTGTGTGTCTAAGTGTGTGTCTAAGTGTGTCTGTGTGTCTAAGTGTGTGTCTAAGTGTGTCGAAGTGTGTCTAAGGGTGTGTCTAAGTGTGTGTCTAAGTGTGTGTCTGTGTGTGTCTAAGTGTGTCTGTGTGTGTGTCTAAGTGTGTCTGTGTGTCTGTGTGTGTGTCTAAGTGTGTCTAAGTGTGTCTAAGGGTGTGTCTAAGTGTGTCTAAGTGTGTGTGTGTCTGTGTGGGTCTGTGTGTCTAAGTGTGTGTCTGTGTGGGTCTGTGTCTAAGTGTGTGTCTAAGTGTGTCTAAGTGTGTGTCTGTGTGGGTCTGTGTCTAAGTGTGTGTCTAAGTGTGTCTAAGTGTGTGTCTAAGTGTGTCTAAGTGTGTGTCTGTGTGGGTCTGTGTGTCTAAGTGTGTGTCTAAGTGTGTCGAAGTGTGTGTCTAAGTGTGTCTAAGTGTGTGTCTAAGTGTGTGTCTAAGTGTGTGTCTAAGTGTGTGTCTAAGTGTGTCTGTGTGTCTAAGTGTGTGTCTAAGTGTGTGTCTATGTGTCTAAGTGTGTCTGTGTGTCTAAGTGTGTGTCTAAGTGTGTGTCTAAGTGTGTGTGTGTCTGTGTGGGTCTGTGTGTCTAAGTGTGTGTCTAAGTGTGTGTCTAAGTGTGTGTCTAAGTGTGTCTGTGTGTCTAAGTGAGTGTCTAAGTGTGTGTCTAAGTGTGTGTCTAAGTGTGTGTCTAAGTGTGTGTCTAAGTGTGTCTGTGTGTCTAAGTGTGTGTCTAAGTGTGTCGAAGTGTGTCTAAGTGTGTGTCTAAGTGTGTCTAAGTGTGTGTCTGTGTGGGTCTGTGTGTCTAAGTGTGTGTCTAAGTGTGTGTCTAAGTGTGTGTCTAAGTGTGTGTCTAAGTGTGTGTCTAAGTGTGTCTAAGGGTGTGTCTAAGTGTGTGTCTAAGTGTGTCTGTGTGTCTAAGTGTGTGTCTAAGTGTGTCTAAGTGTGTGTCTAAGTGTGTGTCTAAGTGTGTCTCTGTGTCTGTGTGGGTCTGTGTGTCTAAGTGTGTGTCTAAGTGTGTCTAAGTGTGTCTAAATGTGTGTCTAAGTGTGTCTAAGTGTGTCTGTGTGTCTAAGTGAGTGTCTAAGTGTGTGTCTAAGTGTGTGTCTAAGTGTGTCTAAGTGTGTGTCTAAGTGTGTCTAAGTGTGTCTAAGTGTGTCTGTGTGTCTAAGTGAGTGTCTAAGTGTGTGTCTAAGTGTGTGTCTAAGTGTGTGTCTAAGTGTGTGTGTGTCTGTGTGGGTCTGTGTGTCTAAGTGTGTGTCTAAGTGTGTTTAAGTGTGTGTCTGTGTGGGTCTGTGTGTCTAAGTGTGTGTCTAAGTGTGTCTAAGTGTGTGTGTGTGTCTGTGTGAGTGTCTAAGTGTGTGTCTAAGTGTGTGTCTAAGTGTGTCTAAGTGTGTGTCTAAGTGTGTGTCTAAGTGTGTGTCTAAGTGTGTCTGTGTGTCTAAGTGTGTGTCTAAGTGTGTCGAAGTGTGTCTAAGGGTGTGTCTAAGTGTGTGTCTAAGTGTGTCTGTGTGGGTCTGTGTGTCTAAGTGTGTGTCTAAGTGTGTCTAAGTGTGTCTAAATGTGTGTCTAAGTGTGTCTAAGTGTGTCTGTGTGTCTAAGTGAGTGTCTAAGTGTGTGTCTAAGTGTGTGTCTAAGTGTGTCTAAGTGTGTGTCTAAGTGTGTGTATGTCTGTGTGGGTCTGTGTGTCTAAGTGTGTGTCTAAGTGTGTCTAAGTGTGTGTCTGTGTGGGTCTGTGTGTCTAAGTGTGTGTCTAAGTGTGTCGAAGTGTGTCTAAGGGTGTGTCTAAGTGAGTGTCTAAGTGTGTGTCTAAGTGTGTGTCTAAGTGTGTGTCTAAGTGTGTCTAAGTGTGTATCTGTGTGGGTCTGTGTCTAAGTGTGTGTCTAAGTGTGTCTAAGTGTGTCTAAGTGTGTCTAAGTGTGTGTCTAAGTGTGTGTGTGTCTGTGTGGGTCTGTGTGTCTAAGTGTGTGTCTAAGTGTGTCTAAGTGTGTGTCTGTGTGGGTCTGTGTCTAAGTGTGTGTCTAAGTGTGTCTAAGTGTGTGTCTAAGTGTGTCTAAGTGTGTGTCTGTGTGGGTCTGTGTGTCTAAGTGTTTGTCTAAGTGTGTCTAAGTGTGTCTAAGTGTGTGTCTAAGTGTGTGTCTAAGTGTGTGTCTAAGTGTGTCTAAGTGTGTGTCTAAGTGTGTGTCTAAGTGTGTCTGTGTGTCTAAGTGTGTGTCTAAGTGTGTCTAAGTGTGTGTGTGTCTGTGTGGGTCTGTGTGTCTAAGTGTGTGTCTAAGTGTGTGTCTAAGTGTGTGTCTAAGTGTCTGTGTCTAAGTGTGTCTGTGTGTCTAAGTGTCTGTGTCTAAGTGTGTGTCTAAGTGTGTGTGTGTCTGTGTGGGTCTGTGTGTCTAAGTGTGTGTCTGTGTGGGTCTGTGTCTAAGTGTGTGTCTAAGTGTGTCTAAGTGTGTGTCTAAGTGTGTCTAAGTGTGTCTAAGTGTGTCTGTGTGTCTAAGTGAGTGTCTAAGTGTGTGTCTAAGTGTGTGTCTAAGTGTGTGTCTAAGTGTGTGTGTGTCTGTGTGGGTCTGTGTGTCTAAGTGTGTGTCTAAGTGTGTTTAAGTGTGTGTCTGTGTGGGTCTGTGTGTCTAAGTGTGTGTCTAAGTGTGTCTAAGTGTGTGTGTGTGTCTGTGTGAGTGTCTAAGTGTGTGTCTAAGTGTGTGTCTAAGTGTGTCTAAGTGTGTGTCTAAGTGTGTGTCTAAGTGTGTGTCTAAGTGTGTCTGTGTGTCTAAGTGTGTGTCTAAGTGTGTCGAAGTGTGTCTAAGGGTGTGTCTAAGTGTGTGTCTAAGTGTGTCTGTGTGGGTCTGTGTGTCTAAGTGTGTGTCTAAGTGTGTCTAAGTGTGTCTAAATGTGTGTCTAAGTGTGTCTAAGTGTGTCTGTGTGTCTAAGTGAGTGTCTAAGTGTGTGTCTAAGTGTGTGTCTAAGTGTGTCTAAGTGTGTGTCTAAGTGTGTGTATGTCTGTGTGGGTCTGTGTGTCTAAGTGTGTGTCTAAGTGTGTCTAAGTGTGTGTCTGTGTGGGTCTGTGTGTCTAAGTGTGTGTCTAAGTGTGTCGAAGTGTGTCTAAGGGTGTGTCTAAGTGAGTGTCTAAGTGTGTGTCTAAGTGTGTGTCTAAGTGTGTGTCTAAGTGTGTCTAAGTGTGTATCTGTGTGGGTCTGTGTCTAAGTGTGTGTCTAAGTGTGTCTAAGTGTGTGTCTAAGTGTGTGTGTGTCTGTGTGGGTCTGTGTGTCTAAGTGTGTGTCTAAGTGTGTCTAAGTGTGTGTCTGTGTGGGTCTGTGTCTAAGTGTGTGTCTAAGTGTGTCTAAGTGTGTGTCTAAGTGTGTCTAAGTGTGTGTCTGTGTGGGTCTGTGTGTCTAAGTGTTTGTCTAAGTGTGTCTAAGTCTGTCTAAGTGTGTGTCTAAGTGTGTGTCTAAGTGTGTCTAAGTGTGTGTCTAAGTGTGTGTCTAAGTGTGTCTGTGTGTCTAAGTGTGTGTCTAAGTGTGTCTAAGTGTGTGTGTGTCTGTGTGGGTCTGTGTGTCTAAGTGTGTGTCTAAGTGTGTGTCTAAGTGTGTGTCTAAGTGTCTGTGTCTAAGTGTGTCTGTGTGTCTAAGTGTCTGTGTCTAAGTGTGTGTCTAAGTGTGTGTGTGTCTGTGTGGGTCTGTGTGTCTAAGTGTGTGTCTGTGTGGGTCTGTGTCTAAGTGTGTGTCTAAGTGTGTCTAAGTGTGTGTCTAAGTGTGTGTCTAAGTGTGTGTCTAAGTGTGTCTAAGTGTGTGTCTAAGTGTGTGTATGTCTGTGTGGGTCTGTGTGTCTAAGTGTGTGTCTAAGTGTGTCTAAGTGTGTGTCTAAGTGTGTGTCTAAGTGTGTGTCTAAGTGTGTCTAAGTGTGTGTCTAAGTGTGTCTAAGTGTGTGTCTAAGTGTGTCTGTGTGTCTAAGTGTGTGTCTAAGTGTGTCGAAGTGTGTCTAAGGGTGTGTCTAAGTGTGTGTCTAAGTGTGTCTGTGTGTCTGTGTGGGTCTGTGTGTCTAAGTGTGTGTCTAAGTGTGTCTGTGTGTCTAAGTGTGTGTCTAAGTGTGTCTAAGTGTCTCTGTGTGTCTAAGTGTGTGTCTAAGTGTGTCTAAGTGTGTCTGTGTGTCTAAGTGAGTGTCTAAGTGTGTGTCTAAGTGTATGTCTGTGTGTCTAAGTGTGTGTCTAAGTGTGTCGAAGTGTGTCTAAGGGTGTGTCTAAGTGTGTGTCTAAGTGTGTCGAAGTGTGTCTAAGGGTGTGTCTAAGTGTGTGTCTAAGTGTGTCTGTGTGTCTGTGTGGGTCTGTGTGTCTAAGTGTGTGTCTAAGTGTGTCTGTGTGTCTAAGTGTGTGTCTAAGTGTGTCTAAGTGTGTCTGTGTGTCTAAGTGAGTGTCTAAGTGTGTGTCTAAGTGTGTGTGTGTGTGTCTAAGACTGTGTCTAAGTGTGTGTGTGTCTGTGTGGGTCTGTGTGTCTAAGTGTGTGTCTAAGTGTGTCTAAGTGTGTGTCTGTGTGGGTCTGTGTCTAAGTGTGTGTCTAAGTGTGTCTAAGTGTGTGTCTAAGTGTGTCTAAGTGTGTGTCTGTGTGGGTCTGTGTGTCTAAGTGTTTGTCTAAGTGTGTCTAAGTGTGTGTCTAAGTGTGTGTCTAAGTGTGTGTCTAAGTGTGTGTCTAAGTGCGTCTATGTGTGTCTAAGTGTGTGTCTAAGTGTGTGTCTAAGTGTGTGTCTAAGTGTGTCTAAGTGTGTGTCTAAGTGTGTGTCTAAGTGTGTGTCTAAGTGTGTCTAAGTGTGTGTCTATGTATGTGTCTAAGTGTGTGTCTAAGTGTGTGTCTAAGTGTGTCTACGTGTGTGTCTAAGTGTGTCTAAGTGTGTGTCTAAGTGTGTGTCTAAGTGTGTGTCTAAGTTTGTGTCTAAGTGTGTGTCTAAGTGTGTCTAAGTGTGTGTCTAAGTGTGTCTAAGTGTGTGTCTAAGTGTGTGTCTAAGTGTGTGTCTAAGTGTGTCTAAGTGTGTGTCTAAGTGTGTCTAAGTGTGTGTCTATGTGTGTGTGTCTAAGTGTGTGTCTAAGTGTGTGTCTAAGTGTGTGTCTAAGTGTGTCTAAGTGTGTGTCTAAGTGTGTGTCTAAGTGTCTGTGTCTAATTGTCTAAGTGTGTGTGTCTGTCTGTGTGTCTATGTGTCTAAGTGTGTGTGTGTCTAAGTGTGTGTGTGTGTCTAAGTTTATCTAAGTGTCTAAGTGTGTGTGTGTCTAAGTGTCTGTGTCTAAGTGTGTTTAAGTGTCTAAGTGTGTCTGTGTCTAAGTGTGTGTGTGTCTAAGTGTGTGTGTCTATCTGTATGTGTGTCTTTCTGTGTGTGCGTCTATCTGTGTGTGATTGAGTAACTGAGTGACTGACTGAGTGACTGACTGAGTGAGTGACTGAGTGACTGACTGAGTGACTGAGTGACTGACTGAGTGACTGACTGACTGACTGAGTGACTGACTGAGTGACTGACTGAGTGACTGAGTGACTGACTGAGTGACTGACTGAGTGACTGACTGACTGACTGAGTGACTGACTGAGTGACTGAGTGACTGAGTGACTGACTGACTGACTGACTGAGTGACTGACTGAGTGAGTGAGTGACTGACTGACTGACTGAGTGACTAACTGACTGACTGAGTGACTGACTGAGTGACTGACTGAGTGACTGACTGAGTGACTGAGTGACTGACTGACTGACTGAGTGACTGACTGAGTGACTGAGTGACTGACTGAGTGACTGACTGACTGAGTGACTGACTGAGTGACTGACTGACTGACTGACTGACTGAGTGACTGAGTGAGTGACTGAGTGAGTGACTGACTGACTCACTGAGTGACTGACTGAGTGACTGACTGAGTGACTGAGTGACTGACTGAGTGACTGACTGACTGAGTGACTGACTGAGTGACTGACTGACTGACTGACTGACTGAGTGACTGAGTGAGTGACTGAGTGAGTGACTGACTGACTCACTGAGTGACTGACTGAGTGACTGACTGAGTGACTGAGTGACTGACTGAGTGACTGAGTGACTGACTGAGTGACTGAGTGACTGACTGCCTCACCACTCCCTAACCACCCACAGAGTCATTCTCAACTTCGCCCGCGCTGCAAAAAGTCTGCCCATGGAGAAGGTCGTTGAATTTGCCCATCGGTTCACCCGCATCGCTGGGCAATGTTGTGAACACGACACTCACTGTCTAATTGATGAGGTGAGTCAGTCACTCACTCAGTCACTCACTCAGTCACTCACTCAGTCACTCACTCAGTCACTCACTCAGTCACTCACTCAGTCACTCACTCACTTAGTCACTCACTCACTCAGCCATCGATTCACCCGCATCGCTGGGCAATGTTGTGAACACGACACTCACTGTCTAATTGATGAGGTGAGTCAGTCACTCAGTCAGTCACTCAGTCAGTCACTCACTCAGTCACTCACTCAGTCACTCACTCAGTCACTCACTCACTCAGTCACTCACTCACTCACTCAGTCGCTCAGTCACTCACTCAACCACTCACTCACTCAGTCAGTCAGTCACTCACCCAGCCAATCACTCAGTCACTCACACAGTCAGTCACTCACTCACTCAGCCATCGATTCACCCGCATCGCTGGGCAATGTTGTGAACACGACACTCACTGTCTCGTTGATGAGGTGAGGAGATGGTCACTCAGTCAGTCACTCACTCAGTCACTCAGTCAGTCACTCACTCACTCAGTCACTCAGTCAGTCACTCAGTCACTCAGTCACTCACTCACTCAGCCAGTCACTCAGTCACTCACTCAGTCACTCACTCACTCACTCAGTCAGTCACTCACTCAGTCACTCAGTCAGTCACTCACTCACTCAGTCACTCAGTCAGTCACTCAGTCACTCAGTCACTCACTCACTCAGCCAGTCACTCAGTCACTCACTCAGTCACTCACTCACTCACTCAGTCACTCACTCACACAGTCACTCAGTCACTCACTCACTCACTCAGACACTCAGTCACTCACTCACTCACTCACACAGTCACCCAGCCAATCACTCAGCACTCACTTAGTCACTCACTCACTCAGCCATCGGTTCACCCGCATCGCTGGGCAATGTTGTGAACACGACACTCACTGTCTCGTTGATGAGGTGAGGAGATGGTCACTCAGTCAGTCACTCACTCAGTCACTCAGTCAGTCACTCACTCACTCAGTCACTCAGTCAGTCACTCAGTCACTCAGTCACTCACTCACTCAGCCAGTCACTCAGTCACTCACTCAGTCACTCACTCACTCACTCAGTCAGTCACTCACTCAGTCACTCAGTCAGTCACTCACTCACTCAGTCACTCAGTCAGTCACTCAGTCACTCAGTCACTCACTCACTCAGCCAGTCACTCAGTCACTCACTCAGTCACTCACTCACTCACTCAGTCACTCACTCACACAGTCACTCAGTCACTCACTCACTCACTCAGACACTCAGTCACTCACTCACTCACTCACACAGTCACCCAGCCAATCACTCAGTCACTCACTTAGTCACTCACTCACTCAGCCATCGATTCACCCGCATCGCTGGGCAATGTTGTGAACACGACACTCACTGTCTAATTGATGAGGTGAGTCAGTCACTCAGTCAGTCACTCACTCAGTCACTCACTCAGTCACTCACTCACTTAGTCACTCACTCACTCAGCCATCGATTCACCCGCATCGCTGGGCAATGTTGTGAACACGACACTCACTGTCTAATTGATGAGGTGAGTCAGTCACTCACTCAGTCACTCACTCAGTCACTCACTCAGTCACTCACTCAGTCACTCACTCACTCAGTCACTCACTCAGTCACTCACTCACTTAGTCACTCACTCACTCAGCCATCGATTCACCCGCATCGCTGGGCAATGTTGTGAACACGACACTCACTGTCTCGTTGATGAGGTGAGTCAGTCACTCACTCAGTCACTCAGTCAGTCACTCAGCGACTCACTCAGTCACTCACTCAGTCACTCAGTCACTCAGTCACTCACTCAGCCATCGATTCACCCGCATCGCTGGGCAATGTTGTGAACACGACACTCACTGTCTAATTGATGAGGTGAGTCAGTCACTCACTCAGTCACTCACTCAGTCACTCACTCAGTCACTCACTCAGTCACTCACTCACTTCGTCACTCACTCACTCAGCCATCGATTCACCCGCATCGCTGGGCAATGTTGTGAGCACGACACTCACTGTCTCGTTGATGAGGTGAGTCAGTCACTCAGTCACTCAGTCAGTCAGTCAGTCACTCAGTCAGTCAGTCAGTCACTCAGTCACTCACTCACTCAGTCAGTCACTCACTCACTCAGCGACTCACTCACTCACTCAGACACTCACTCAGTCACTCAGTCACTCACTCAGTTGCTCAGTCACTCACTCAGACACTCACTCAGTCACTCAGTCACTCACTCAGTCGCTCAGTCACACAGTCAGTCACTCACTCAGCCATCGATTCACCCGCATCGCTGGGCAATGTTGTGAACACGACACTCACTGTCTCGTTGATGAGGTGAGTCAGTCACTCAGTCAATCACTCACTCAGTCACTCACTCAGTCACTCACTCACTCAGCCAGTCACTCAGTCACTCACTCAGTCACTCACTCACTCACTCAGACACTCAGTCACTCACTCACTCACTCAGTCACTCACTCACACAGTCACTCAGTCACTCACTCAGTCAGTCAGTCACTCAGTCAGTCACTCAGTCACTCACTTAGTCACTCACTCAGTCACTTAGTGAGTCACTCACTCAGTCAGTCACTCACTCACTCAGCCACTCAGTTATTCACTCAGCCACCCACCCACTCACTCACTCAGTCAGTCACTCACTCACTCACTCAGTCAGTCACTCACTCACTCAGTCACTCACTCACACAGTCACTCAGTCACTCACTCAGTCAGTCAGTCACTCAGTCACTCACTCAGTCACTCACTCAGTCACTCACTCACTCAGCCAGTCACTCAGTCACTCACTCAGTCACTCACTCACTCACTCAGACACTCAGTCACTCACTCACTCAGTCACTCACTCACACAGTCACTCAGTCACTCACTCAGTCAGTCAGTCACTCAGTCAGTCACTCAGTCACTCACTTAGTCACTCACTCAGTCACTTAGTGAGTCACTCACTCAGTCAGTCACTCACTCACTCAGCCACTCAGTTATTCACTCAGCCACCCACCCACTCACTCACTCAGTCAGTCACTCACTCACTCACTCAGTCAGTCACTCACTCACTCACTCAGTCACTCACTCACACAGTCACTCAGTCACTCACTCAGTCAGTCAGTCACTCAGTCACTCACTCAGTCACTCACTCAGTCACTCACTCAGTCACTCACTCACTCAGCCAGTCACTCAGTCACTCACTCAGTCACTCACTCACTCACTCAGACACTCAGTCACTCACTCACTCACTCAGTCACTCACTCACACAGTCACTCAGTCACTCACTCAGTCAGTCAGTCACTCAGTCAGTCACTCAGTCACTCACTCAGTCACTCACTCACTCACTCAGTCACTCACTCACTTAGTCACTCACTCACTCAGCCATCGATTCACCCGCATCGCTGGGCAATGTTGTGAGCACGACACTCACTGTCTCGTTGATGAGGTGAGGAGATGGTGACTCAGTCAGTCACTCACTCAGTCACTCACTCAGTCACTCACTCACTCAGCCAGTCACTCAGTCACTCACTCAGTCACTCACTCACTCACTCAGTCAGTCACTCACTCACTCACTCAGTCACTCACTCACACAGTCACTCAGTCACTCACTCAGTCAGTCAGTCACTCAGTCAGTCACTCAGTCACTCACTTAGTCACTCACTCAGTCACTTAGTGAGTCACTCACTCAGTCAGTCACTCACTCACTCAGCCACTCAGTTATTCACTCAGCCACCCACCCACTCACTCACTCAGTCAGTCACTCACTCACTCACTCAGTCAGTCACTCACTCACTCAGTCACTCACTCACACAGTCACTCAGTCACTCACTCAGTCAGTCAGTCACTCAGTCACTCACTCAGTCACTCACTCAGTCACTCACTCACTCAGCCAGTCACTCAGTCACTCACTCAGTCACTCACTCACTCACTCACTCAGACACTCAGTCACTCACTCACTCACTCAGTCACTCACTCACACAGTCACTCAGTCACTCACTCAGTCAGTCAGTCACTCAGTCAGTCACTCAGTCACTCACTTAGTCACTCACTCAGTCACTTAGTGAGTCACTCACTCAGTCAGTCACTCACTCACTCAGCCACTCAGTTATTCACTCAGCCACCCACCCACTCACTCACTCAGTCAGTCACTCACTCACTCACTCACTCAGTCAGTCACTCACTCACTCACTCAGTCACTCACTCACACAGTCACTCAGTCACTCACTCAGTCAGTCAGTCACTCAGTCACTCACTCAGTCACTCACTCAGTCACTCACTCAGTCACTCACTCACTCAGCCAGTCACTCAGTCACTCACTCAGTCACTCACTCACTCACTCACTCAGACACTCAGTCACTCACTCACTCACTCAGTCACTCACTCACACAGTCACTCAGTCACTCACTCAGTCAGTCAGTCACTCAGTCAGTCACTCAGTCACTCACTCAGTCACTCACTCACTCAGTCACTCACTCACTTAGTCACTCACTCACTCAGCCATCGATTCACCCGCATCGCTGGGCAATGTTGTGAGCACCACACTCACTGTCTCGTTGATGAGGTGAGGAGATGGTGACTCAGTCAGTCACTCACTCAGTCACTCACTCAGTCACTCACTCACTCAGCCAGTCACTCAGTCACTCACTCAGTCACTCACTCACTCACTCAGACACTCAGTCACTCACTCACTCACTCAGTCACTCACTCACACAGTCACTCAGTCACTCACTCAGTCAGTCAGTCACTCAGTCAGTCACTCAGTCACTCACTTAGTCACTCACTCAGTCACTTAGTCAGTCACTCACTCAGTCAGTCACTCACTCACTCAGCCACTCAGTTATTCACTCAGCCACCCACCCACTCACTCACTCAGTCAGTCACTCACTCACTCACTCAGTCAGTCACTCACTCACTCAGTCACTCACTCACACAGTCACTCAGTCACTCACTCAGTCAGTCAGTCACTCAGTCACTCACTCAGTCACTCACTCAGTCACTCACTCACTCAGCCAGTCACTCAGTCACTCACTCAGTCACTCACTCACTCACTCAGACACTCAGTCACTCACTCACTCACTCAGTCACTCACTCACACAGTCACTCAGTCACTCACTCAGTCAGTCAGTCACTCAGTCAGTCACTCAGTCACTCACTTAGTCACTCACTCAGTCACTTAGTGAGTCACTCACTCAGTCAGTCACTCACTCACTCAGCCACTCAGTTATTCACTCAGCCACCCACCCACTCACTCACTCAGTCAGTCACTCACTCACTCACTCAGTCAGTCACTCACTCACTCACTCAGTCACTCACTCACACAGTCACTCAGTCACTCACTCAGTCAGTCAGTCACTCAGTCACTCACTCAGTCACTCACTCAGTCACTCACTCAGTCACTCACTCACTCAGTCAGTCACTCAGTCACTCACTCAGTCACTCACTCACTCACTCAGACACTCAGTCACTCACTCACTCACTCAGTCACTCACTCACACAGTCACTCAGTCACTCACTCAGTCAGTCAGTCACTCAGTCAGTCACTCAGTCACTCACTCAGTCACTCACTCACTCACTCAGTCACTCACTCACTTAGTCACTCACTCACTCAGCCATCGATTCACCCGCATCGCTGGGCAATGTTGTGAGCACCACACTCACTATCTCCTTGACGAGGTGAGTCAGTCAGTCACTCAGTCAGTCAGTCAGTCACTCACTCACTCACTCAGCCACTCAGTTATTCACTCAGCCACCCACTCACTCACTCAGTCACTCACTCAGTCAGTCACTCACTGAGTCACTCACTCACTCAGACACTCAGTCACTCACTCAGTCACTCACTCAGTCACTCACTCACACAGTCAGTCACTCACTCAGTCACTCACTCAGTCACTCACTCAGTCACTCACTCAGTCACTCAGTCACTCAGTCACTCACTCAGTCACTCACTCACTCACTCAGTCAGTCACTCACTCAGTCACTCACTCACTCAGTCAGTCACTCAGTCAGTCACTCACTCAGTCACTCAGTCAGTCACTCACTCAGTCACTCAGCCACTCAGTCACTCAGTCATTCACTCAGTCAGTCACTCAGTCAGTCAGTCAGTCACTCACTCAGTCACTCAGTCACTCACTCACTCAGTCACTCAGGCACTCAGTCACTCAATCAGTCACTCACTCAGTCACTCACTCACTCAGCCAGTCAGTCACTCACTCAGTCACTCAGTCACTCACTCAGTCACTCACTCATCCACTCACTCACTCAGTCACTCACTCAGTCACTCACTCACACAGTCAGTCACTCACTCAGTCACTCAGTCACTCACTCAGTCACTCACTCACTCAGTCACTCAGTCACTCAGTCAGTCAATCACTCAGTCAGTCACTCTCTCACTCACTCAGTCACTCATTCACTGACTGAGTAACTGACTCACTGAGTCACTGAATGACTGACTGAGTGACTGAATGAGTAACTCACTGACTGACTGAGTGACTGACTGACTCACTGACTGACTCACTGACTGACTGAATGATTGAGTGACTCACTGTGTAACTCACTGACTAACTGACTGAGTGAGTGACTGACTGAGTTAGTGACTGAGTGACTGACTCATTGACTGACTGACTGAGTGACTGACTGAGTGACTCACTGACTCACTGACTGACTGACTGAGTGACTGACTGAGTGAGTGACTGACTGAGTTAGTGACTGACTGACTGAGTGACTGACTAACTGACTCACTGACTCACTGACTGACTCACTGACTGACTCACTGACTGACTGACTGACTGAGTGACTGACTGACTGAGTGACTGACTGACTGACTAACTGAGTGACTGACTGACTGAGTAACTCACTCACTCACTGACTCACTGACTGACTGACTGAGTGACTGACTGACTGACTGAGTGACTGACTGAGTGACTGACTGACTGACTGAGTGACTAACTGAGTGACTGAATCTCACCCATCACAGTCTCTTCACCTCCATGCCGAGATGTGCGGTGATCACGCCTAAGTCAGTCAGTCACTCACTGACTCACTGACTGACTGAGTCACTCACTAACTGACTCACTGACTGAGTCACTGAGTCACTCACTGACTCACTGACTGACTGAGTGACTGACTGAGTGACTGAGTCACTCACTGACTGACTGACTCACTGACTCACTGAATGATTGAGTGACTGACTGACTGAGTAACTCACTCACTGACTCACTGACTCACTGACTGACTCACTGACTGACTGACTGACTGAGTGACTGACTGACTGAGTGACTGACTGACTGACTCACTGACTCACTGACTGACTCACTGACTGACTGACTGACTGAGTGACTGACTGACTGAGTGACTGACTGAGTGACTGACTGACTAACTGACTGACTGACTAACTGAGTGACTGAATCTCACCCTCCACAGTCTTTTCACCTCCACGCCGAGATGTGCGGTGATCACGCCTAAGTCAGTCAGTCACTCACTGACTGACTGACTGACTGACTGAGTGACTGACTGAGTGACTCACTGACTCACTGACTGACTGACTGAGTAACTGACTTAGTGACTGACTGACTGACTGAATGATTGAGTGACTGACTGACTGGGTAACTCACTCACTGACTGACTGAGTGACTGACTGACTGACTGAATGATTGAGTGACTGACTGACTGACTGACTAACTGAGTGACTGACTGACTGAGTAACTCACTCACTGACTCACTGACTCACTGACTGACTCACTGACTCACTGACTGACTCACTGACTGACTGACTGACTCACTGACTGACTGACTGAGTGAGTGAGTGAGTGACGGACTGACTGACTGACTGACTGACTGACTGACTGACTGACTGACTGAGTGACTAACTGAGTGACTGAATCTCACCCTCCATAGTCTTTTCACCTCCACGCCGAGATGTGCGGTGATCACGCCTACATAATGGCTCACCCAGGCGTGGCCAACTGCTGCAAGTCCGACGTTTCGGAGCAGGGGACCTGCTTCAAGATCCACGAGGACGTCCACCACGCTGAGGAGATTTTGTCCAAGGATGTCAGTCCTGCACATCCAACAGCGGAGAGAGTCTGCCTCCGATACAGACAATTTCCAGAGAAGTTTATTAACCTGTGAGTGAGCTTGTGGGTGGGTGGGTTGGTGGGTGGGTGGGTGGGTGGGGGGGTGAGTGGGTGGGTGGGTGGGTGAGTGAGTGGGTGGGTGAGTGAGTGAGTGGGTGGGTGGGTGAGTGGGTGGGTGGGTGGGTGTGTGGGTGGGTGAGTGGGTGGGTGGGTGGGTGAGTGGGTGGGTGAGTGAGTGGCTGGGTGGGTGCGTGGGTGGGTGAGTGGGTGGGTGAGTGGGTGAGTGGGTGGGTGGGTGAGTGAGTGGGTGGGTGGGTTGGTGAGTGGGTGGGTGAGTGGGTGGGTGAGTGGGTGGGTGAGTGGGTGGGTGAGTGGGTGGGTGGGTGAGTGGGTGGGTGGGTGAGTGAGTGAGTGGGTGGGTGGGTGGGTGAGTGGGTGGGTGGGTGGGTGGGTGAGTGAGTGGGTGAGTGAGTGGGTGGGTGGGTGGGTGAGTGAGTGAGTGGGTGGGTGGGTGGGTTTGTGAGTGGGTGGGTGGGTGAGTGGGTGGGTGAGTGGGTGGGTGAGTGGGTGGGTGGGTGGGTGAGTGGGTGGGTGGGTGGGTGAGTGGGTGGATGGGTGGGTGAGTAGGTGAGTGAGTGGGTGGGTGGGTGAGTGAGTGAGTGGGTGAGTGAGTGAGTGGGTGAGTGGGTGGGTGAGTGGGTGAGTGAGTGGGTGAGTAGGTGTGTGAGTGAGTGGGTGAGTGAGTGGGTGGGTGAGTGAGTGGGTGGGTGAGTGGGTGGGTGATTGAACTGAGTGAGACAGTGACTGACTAACTAACTGAGTGATTGACTGAGTGACTAACTAAGTGACTGACTAACTAAGTGACTAACTGAGTGACTACCTGAGTGACTAACTGAGTGACTAACTAACTGATTGACTGAGTGACTGACTAACTAACTAACTGAATGACTGACTAACTGAGTAACTAACTAAGTGACTGACTCACTGACTAACTGAGTGACTAACTGAGTGACTAACTGAATGACTAACTGAGTTACTAACTGAGTGACTGACTAACTGAGTGACTAACTAACTGACTGACTGAGTGACTGACTGAGTGACTAACTAAGTGACTGACTAACTTGGTGACTGACTAACTGAGTGACTGACTGAGTGACTAACTGAGTGACTGCATGACTAACTGAATGACTAACTAACTAACTGAGTGTCTGACTAAGTGACTGAGTGACTGACTAACTAACTGACTGACTAAGTGACTGACTAAGTGATTGACTGAGTGACTAACTGAGTGACTAACTAACTGAGTGACTAACTAAGTGACTAACTGACTGACTGACTAACTGAGTTACTAACTAAGTGACTGACTGACTGAGTAACTCACTGACTGACTGAGTAACTGATTGAGTGACTGACTGAGTGACTAACTAACTGACTAAGTGACTAACTGACTAAGTGACTAACTAAGTGACTAAGTGACTAACTGACTAACTAACTGACTAACTAAGTGACTAACTGAGTGACTAACTGAGTGACTAACTGAGTGACTAACTGACTGACTAAGTGACTAAGTGACTGACTAAGTGACTAACTAAGTGACTAATTGAGTGACTAACTGAGTGAATAAGTGACTAACTAAGTTACTAACTAACTGACTGACTAACTGACTAACTAAGTGACTAACTAAGTGACTGAGTGACTAACTGAGTGACTAACTGACTAACTAACTAACTGAGTGACTAACTGACTAATTGAGTGACTAACTGAGTGACTGAGTGACTAACTAACTAACTGACTGACTAAGTGACTAATTGAGTGACTAACTGAGTGACTGACTAACTGACTAACTAAGTGACTAACTAACCGACTGACTAAGTGACTAACTGAGTGACTAACTGAGTGACTAACTGACTAACTAAGTGACTAACTAAGTGACTAACTAAGTGACTGACTAATTGAGTGACTAACTGAGTGACTAACTGACTGACTAAGTGACTAACTAAGTGACTGACTGACTAACTGACTAACTAAGTGACTAACTGAGTGACTGACTAACTGAGTGACTAATTGACTGGCTAACTGAGTGACTAACTGACTAACTAAGTGACTAATTGACTGACTAACTGAGTGACTAACTAAGTGACTAACTGAGTGACTAACTGAGTGACTGACTGACTCCCCCAGGGCTCTTTTCGAGTTTGTTCACCGCCTACCCTTGCTGGAGTCCTCAGTACTGAGGCGCAAAGCCTTGGCCTACACTGGATTCACAGATGACTGCTGTAGGGCAGTGGACAAGACTGCCTGCTTCACTGAGAAGGTCAGTCACTCAGTCAGTCAGTCAGTCACTCAGTCAGTCACTCAGTCAGTCAGTCACTCAGTCAGTCAGTCACTCAGTCAGTCAGTCACTCAGTCAGTCACTCAGTCACTCAGTCAGTCAGTCACTCAGTCAGTCAGTCACTCAGTCAGTCACTGAGGAACAAGACCTTGGCCTACACTGGATTCACAGATCACTGTTGTAGGGCAGTGGACAAGACTGCCTGCTTCACTGAGAAGGTCAGTCACTCAGTCACTCAGTCACTCAGTCAGTCAGTCAGTCACTCAGTCAGTCACTCAGACAGTCACTCAGTCAGTTAGTCAGTCAGTCACTCACTCAGTCAGTCAGTCACTCAGTCAGTCAGTCAGTCAGTCACTCAGTCAGTCAGGTAGTCAGTCACTCAGTCAGTCACTCAGTCACTCAGTCAGTCAGTCACTCAGTCAGTCAGTCACTCAGTCAGTCACTCACTCAGTCAGTCACTCAGTCAGTCAGTGACTCAGTCAGTCAGTCAGTCAGTCACTCAGTCAGTCACTCAGTCAGTCACTCAGTCAGTCAGTCAGTTAGTCAGTCACTAAGTCAGTCACTCAGTCAGTCAGTTAGTCAGTCACTCAGTCAGTCACTCAGTCACTCAGTCAGTCACTCAGTCAGTCACTCAGTCACTCACTCAGTCACTCAGTCACTCACTCAGTCACTCAGTCAGTCACTCACTCAGTCACTCAGTCAGTCACTGAGGAACAAAGCCTTGGCCTACACTGGATTCACAGATGACTGTTGTAGGGCAGTGGACAAGACTGCCTGCTTCACTGAGAAGGTCAGTCACTCAGTCACTCAGTCAGTCACTCAGTCAGTCAGTCAGTCACTCAGTCAGTCAGTCACTCAGTCACTCAGTCAGTCACTCAGTCAGTCAGTCACTCACTCAGTCACTCAGTCAGTCACTCAGTCACTCAGTGAGTCACTCAGTCAGTCAGTCAGTCACTCAGTCACTCACTCAGTCACTCAGTCAGTCACTCACTCAGTCAGTCACTCAGTCAGTCAGTCAGTCACTCAGTCAGTCACTCAGTCACTCAGTCACTCAGTCACTCACTCATTCACTCAGTCAGTCACTCAGTCAGTCAGGTAGTGACTCAGTCACTCAGTCACTCACTCAGTCAGTCACTCAGTCAGTCAGTCAGTCAGGCACTCAGTCAGTCACTCAGTCACTCACTCAGTCACTCAGTCACTCACTCAGTCACTCAGTCAGTCACTCACTCAGTCACTCAGACAGTCACTAAGGAACAAAGCCTTGGCCTACACTGGATTCACAGATGACTGTTGTAGGGCAGTGGACAAGACTGCCTGCTTCACTGAGAAGGTCAGTCACTCAGTCACTCACTCAGTCACTCAGTCAGTCACTCAGTCAGTCAGTCACTCACTCACTCAGTCACTCAGTCACTCACTCACTCAGTCAGTCAGTCACTCACTCAGTCAGTCACTCAGTCAGTCAGTCAGTCACTCAGTCAGTCACGCAGTCACTCACTCAGTCACTCACTCAGTCAGTCAGTCACTCACTCAGTCAGTCACTCAGTCTCTCAGTCAGTCACTCAGTCACTCAGTCAGTCAGTCACTCAGTCACTCACTCAGTCAGTCACTCAGTCAGTCACTCAGTCAGTTAGTCACTCAGTCAGTCACTCAGGCAGTCAGTCACTCAGTCAGTAACTCAGTGACTCAGTCAGTCAGTCACTCAGTCACTCAGTCAGTTAGTCACTCAGTTAGTCACTCAGTCAGTCACTCACTCAGTCACTCAGTCAGTCAGTCAGTCACTCAGTCAGTCACTCAGTCAGTCACTCAGTCACTCAGTCAGTTAGTTAGTTAGTCACTCGCTCTTACAGTCACTCACTCAGTCACTCAGTCAGTCACTCAGTCAGTCACTCAGTCACTCAGTCAGTCAGTTAGTCAGTTAGTCAGTCACTCAGTCAGTCACTCAGTCAGTCAATCACTCAGTCAGTCGGTCAGTCACTTAGTCAGTCAGTCAGTTAGTGATGATGATGATGCTACTACTGATGATGATGATGATACTACGACTGATGATGATGATACTACTGATGATGATGATGATACTACTACTGATGATGATGATACTACTACTGATGATGATGATACTACTGATGATGATGATACTACTACTGATGATGATGATACTACTACTGATGATGATGATACTACTGATGATGATGAAGATACTACTGATGATGATGATACTACTACTGATGATGATACTACTACTGATGATGATGATGATACTACTACTGATGATGATGATCCTACTGCTGATGATGATGATACTACTACTGATGATGATGAAGCTGATACTACTGATGATGATACTACTACTGATGATGATGATACTTCTGATGATGATACTACTAATGATGATGATTTTTCTTTTGCAGTTGGAAGCCATAAAATCATCGTAAGAGTCTCGGTGTTTCAACGACCAATCAGAAATCAGCAATGACCCTCGCCTGAACACACACACAGAGATCTTCACCTGCAGCACGTCCTGCTAGCCAATCAGAGAGGCGGATAACTCACCCACTCAGTCACCCACTCAGTCACTCACTCAGTCACTCACTCAGTCACCCACTCACCCACCCACCCACTCAGTCACTCACCCACTCACTCACCCACTCAGTCAGTCACTCACTCAGTCACTCACTCACCCACTCACTCACTCACTCAGTCACTCACCCACTCAGTCACTCACTCAGTCACTCACTCAGTCACTCACTCAGTCACTCACTCACCCACTCAGTCACTTAGTCACTCATTCACCCACTCAGTCACTCACCCACTCACTCACTCACCCACTCAGTCACTCACTCACTCATTCACCCACTCACTCAGTCAGTCACTAACTCAGTCACTCACTCACCCACTCACTCACTCACTCAGTCACTCACTCAGTCACTCACTCAGTCACTGACTCAGTCACTCACTCAGTCACTGACTCAGTCACTCACTCACTCACCCACTCACCCACTCACTCACTCAGTCACTCACTCAGTCACTCACTCAGTCACTCACTCACTCACCCACTCAGTCACTCACTCAGTCACTCACCCACTCATTCAGTCACTCACTCACTCACTCATCCACTCACTCACTCAGCCACTCACTCATTCACTCACCCACTCACTCACTCACTCACCCACCCACTCACTCACCTACTCACTCACTCACCCACGCACTCACTCACTCACCCACCCACTCACTCACTCACTCAGCCACTCACTCACCCACTCACCGACTCAGTCACTCACCCACTCACTCACTCACCCACTCACCCACTCACTCAGTCACTCACTCACCCACTCACTCAGTCACTCACTCACCCAGTCACTCACTCACTCAGCCACTAACTCAGCCACTCACTCAGTCACCCACTCAATAACCCATCCACCCACCCACTCACCCACTCACTCACTCATCCACCCACTCACTCACTCGCCCACTCACTCACTCACTCACCCACTCACTCACCCACTCACTCACCCACTCACTCACTCACTCACCCACTCACTCGCTCACTCACTCACCCACTCACCCACTCACTCACCCAATCACACAGACACACACACATAGACACACACAGACAGACACACACACACACACAGACACACACACACAGACACACACACAGACACACACACTGACACACACACACACAGACACACACACACATAGACACACACATAGACACACACATAGACACACAGACACACACACACACGGTGATACAAAGACGCTTTTGGAGGGGTTTTGGCTTTGCAGGCTGTTTGTGGTTTCTGTTCTAAATAATAAAACATTCAGAAACACTCACCCAGTCAGTCCGTCTGTGGGTGAGTGGGTGGGTGAGTGAGTGGGTGAGTGGGTGAGTGAGTGGATGAGTGGGTGGGTGAGTGAGTGGGTGGGTGAGTGAGTGGGTGGGTGAGTGGGTGAGTGGGTGGGTGGATGAGTGAGTGGATGAGTTAGTGGGTGAGTGAGTGGGTGAGTGAGTGGATGAGTGAGTGGGTGGGTGAGTGGGTGGGTGATTGAGTGGGTGAGTGAGTGAGTGAGTGGGTGGATGAGTGAGTGAGTGGGTGAGTGGGTGGGTGGGTTAGTGAGTGGGTGAGTGAGTGGGTGAGTGAGTGGGTGGGTGAGTGGGTGGGTGGGTGAGTGAGTGGGTGAGTGAGTGAGTGGATGGGTGAGTGAGTGAGTGAGTGGGTGAGTGGGTGAGTGAGTGAGTGAGTGGGTGAGTGAGGGGTGAGTGGGTGAGTGAGTGAGTGGGTGGGTGGGTGAGTGAGTGGGTGGGTGGGTGAGTGGGTGAGTGAGTGGTGGGTGAGTGAGTGGGTGGGTGGGCGAGTGAGTGGGTGGGTGGGTGAGTGAGTGGGTGGCTGATTGAGTGGGTGAGTTTTGGGTGAGAAAGTGGGTGAGTGGGTGGGTGAGTGCGTGGGTGGGTGAGTGGGTGGGTGAGTGAGTGAGTGGGTGGGTGAGTGAGTGAGTGGGTGAGTGAGTGAGTGAGTGGGTGAGTGTGTGGGTGAGTAGGTGAGTGGGTGAGTGAGTGAGTGGGTCAGTGAGGGAGTGGGTGGGTGGGTGAGTGAGTGGGTGAGTGAGTGGGTGAGTGGGTGAGTGAGTGGGTTAGTGAATGGGTGGGTGAATGAGTGAGTGGGTGGGTGGGTGGGTGGGTGAGTGAGTGGGAGAGTGAGTGAGTGAGTGGGTGGGTGAGTGAGTGGGTGGGTGAGTGGGTGAGGGGGAGAGTGAGTGAGTGGGTGGGTGAGTGGGTGGGTGAGTGGGTGGGTGAGTGAGTGAGTGGGTGGGTGAGGGGGTGGGTGAGTGAGTGGCTGAGTGAGTGAGTGAGTGGGCGAGTGGGTGGGTGAGTGAGTGAGTGGGTGGGTAAGTGAATGAGTGAGTGAGTGAATGAGTGAGTGAGTGGGTGAGTGGGTGAGTGGATGAGTGAGTGAGTGGGTCACCACTACCACCATAAACCAGACATCGATTCACTTGTTCACGTTGTAACTTTATTTGTGTAACATCAACAACATCAACACCATCACCACCATCACACACGGAGAGAGACGAGAGACACTGATGATAACCGCGTGGTGCAGAGAGTGATGGTAAAGTCGCGACCGTCTTTGTATCTCTTTGTGTCGACCTAGTGGGTGAGTGGGTGGGTGAGTGGTTGAGTGGGTGGGTGAGTGAGTGGGTGAGTGGGTGAGTGAGTGAGTGGGTGGGTGAGTGGGTGAGTGGGTGACTGAGTGGGTGAGTGGGTGGGTGAGTGAGTGGGTGAGTGAGTGGGTGGGTGGGTGAGTGGGTGGGTGAGTGAGTGAGTGAGGGGGTGAGTGAGTGGGTGGGTGAGTGAGTGGGTGAGTGAGTGGGTGAGTGAGTGAGTGAGTGGGTGAGTGGGTGAGTGAGTAAGTTGGTGAGTGGGTGAGTGAGTGAGTGGGTGAGTGAGTGGATGGGTGAGTGAGTGAGTGGGTGAGTGAGTGAGTGGGTGGGTGGGTGAGTGAGTGAGTGAGTGGGTGAGTGAGTGGGTGAGTGAGTGAGTGAGTGGGTGAGTGAGTGGGTGAGTTGGTGGGTGAGTGAGTGAGTGGGTGAGTGGGTGGGTGAGCGAGTGAGTGAGTGGGTGAGTGGGTGAGTGAGTGGGTGAGTGGGTGAGTGAGTGGGTGGGTGAGTGAGTGGGTGGGTGAGTGAGTGGGTGGGTGAGTGGGTGAGTGGGTGGGTGTGTGGGTGAGTGGGTGAGTGAGTGAGTGGGTGGGTGAGTAAGTGGGTGGGTGAGTGAGTGAGTGGGTGGGCGAGTGAATGGATGGGTGGGTGAGTGGGTGAGTGGGTGGGTGAGTGAGTGGGTGGGTGGGTGAGTGGGTGGGTGGGTGAGTGAGTGGGTGGGTGAGTGAGTGGGTGAGTGAGTTAGTGGGTGAGTGAGTGGGTGAGTGAGTGAGTGAGGGGTGAGTGGGTGAGTGAGTGAGTGGGTGGGTGGGTGAGTGAGTGGGTGGGTGGGTGAGTGGGTGAGTGAGTGGTGGGTGTGTGAGTGGGTGGGTGGGCGAGTGAGTGGGTGGGTGGGTGAGTGAGTGGGTGGCTGATTGAGTGGGTGAGTTTTGGGTGAGAAAGTGGGTGAGTGGGTGGGTGAGTGCGTGGGTGGGTGAGTGGGTGGGTGAGTGAGTGAGTGGGTGGGTGAGTGAGTGAGTGGGTGAGTGAGTGAGTGAGTGGGTGAGTGTGTGGGTGAGTAGGTGAGTGGGTGAGTGAGTGAGTGGGTCAGTGAGGGAGTGGGTGGGTGGGTGAGTGAGTGGGTGAGTGAGTGGGTGAGTGGGTGAGTGAGTGGGTTAGTGAATGGGTGGGTGAATGAGTGGGTGAGTGGGTGGGTGGGTGGGTGAGTGAGGGGGAGAGTGAGTGAGTGAGTGGGTGGGTGAGTGAGTGGGTGGGTGAGTGGGTGAGGGGGAGAGTGAGTGAGTGGGTGGGTGAGTGGGTGGGTGAGTGGGTGGGTGAGTGAGTGAGTGGGTGGGTGAGGGGGTGGGTGAGTGAGTGGCTGAGTGAGTGAGTGAGTGGGCGAGTGGGTGGGTGAGTGAGTGAGTGGGTGGGTAAGTGAATGAGTGAGTGAGTGAATGAGTGAGTGAGTGGGTGAGTGGGTGAGTGGATGAGTGAGTGAGTGGGTCACCACTACCACCATAAACCAGACATCGATTCACTTGTTCACGTTGTAACTTTATTTGTGTAACATCAACAACATCAACACCATCACCACCATCACACACGGAGAGAGACGAGAGACACTGATGATAACCGCGTGGTGCAGAGAGTGATGGTAAAGTCGCGACCGTCTTTGTATCTCTTTGTGTCGACCTAGTGGGTGAGTGGGTGGGTGAGTGGTTGAGTGGGTGGGTGAGTGAGTGGGTGAGTGGGTGAGTGAGTGAGTGGGTGGGTGAGTGGGTGAGTGGGTGACTGAGTGGGTGAGTGGGTGGGTGAGTGAGTGGGTGAGTGAGTGGGTGGGTGGGTGAGTGGGTGGGTGAGTGAGTGAGTGAGGGGGTGAGTGAGTGGGTGGGTGAGTGAGTGGGTGAGTGAGTGGGTGGGTGAGTGAGTGAGTGGGTGAGTGGGTGAGTGAGTAAGTTAGTGAGTGGGTGAGTGAGTGAGTGGGTGAGTGAGTGGGTGGGTGAGTGAGTGAGTGGGTGAGTGAGTGAGTGGGTGGGTGGGTGAGTGAGTGAGTGAGTGGGTGAGTGAGTGGGTGAGTGAGTGAGTGAGTGGGTGAGTGAGTGGGTGAGTGGGTGGGTGAGTGAGTGAGTGGGTGAGTGGGTGGGTGAGCGAGTGAGTGAGTGGGTGAGTGGGTGAGTGAGTGGGTGAGTGGGTGAGTGAGTGGGTGGGTGAGTGAGTGGGTGGGTGAGTGAGTGGGTGGGTGAGTGGGTGAGTGGGTGGGTGTGTGGGTGAGTGGGTGAGTGAGTGAGTGGGTGGGTGAGTAAGTGGGTGGGTGAGTGAGTGAGTGGGTGGGCGAGTGAATGGATGGGTGGGTGAGTGGGTGAGTGGGTGGGTGAGTGAGTGGGTGGGTGGGTGAGTGGGTGGGTGGGTGAGTGAGTGGGTGGGTGAGTGAGTGGGTGAGTGAGTTAGTGGGTGAGTGAGTGGGTGAGTGAGTGGTTGTGCGAGTGAGTGAGTGGGTGAGCG